CAATATTTTTCAACTGCAAACAAAGGAGATCCTGCCAAGGTAAAGAATGCAAGGGAACTTTCCTAAAGAAGCTAAGTACACCCAACTTAAGAAAAAAAAAAAGAATGGAAATTTATAGAATAAAAATATATTAAGTAAGATATGTGTTAAAATGAAAGATGTCGAGATAAAGAGTACCTTAGGGTCAGTTTGGGTGGCAGAAAAAGAGCACAGCAAGCTGGCCTGTCATGCTCCCCACCAAGTGCATTATTCATCATGAGGAAAAGCCAAGGGACCCCGTATCAGGATGCACGTAGGTGACTTTTTAAGAACTGGACAATTCTATCTCAAGTGTCTGGGAGAGGAAGAGATGACTGAAAGAATTACAACAGAGATGCTACTTGCCAGTGTCTGGGGTTAGTATACAGTAGCTCTGAGTAAGCTCTAGTTCTCCCTTTTTTGCTGATTATCATAACCAGTCTGTCCCACCCGAGTTTGCAAGCTGATATTAGTCCTGTAGAACTTTTGATGGAATTTTTTATTTTTTTTGTCTTTTTCGTTTTTATCGGTACCAGGGATCTAACTCACGACACCTGCTTGCAAGGCAGGCGCTTATGCCGCTGAGCTAAATCCCCAGCCCCCAATGGAATTTCTGATTTGTTTGATTACAAACTATTAGAACTGTCTCCTTTTCTATTATAAAGTTGCCAATTAGTCTAATTTACCTTCTGGGCCCCACTCTATTATTTCTAAACTCTGATAGTGGCACCGAGGAAAGTCTTGTATCTGTTGGAATTGTCAGTGTAAAGCACCTATTTAATAACAAAACAGAGAAAAATTAGTCAACAGAGAAAAAGAGTACCACACTCTATGAGCACAGAGAGACTGGTGAGAAATCACACTGACCTAGAGAAAGTAGCCCTACTTAGCTCCTAACTGCCGCTGAAACCCTGCTATCCTTCTTGTCCTTGGACTCTTACATAAAACTGTATTACTCTTCTAAAAAAACATTCCTTTTGCTTAAGCTACTTTAAGAAATTTTGTGACCTTCTCAGAAAATCAAGAACAGGAAAAAAAAAAAAGGCCAGGAGGGGAGTAACATTATAAAAAAATATACGCATGCATAGGTTCTGTCTTACTGAAAAATTGTATTAATGTTGCCTTACAGAGGAAGAGAAAGCTATTTTTTTATTGAGATTATAAACTCCCTGTTTACTTTTTAATCCTCAGAGGACCTAACATAATGCCTTATACACATTAACAAATGTTTATTGAATGGACATACAATTAAAAAAGAGTCAAATTCATTTGACCAAAACAACTAATTGTGGAGTTTTTAACAGCATTTCATTTCAAATTAAGAAGATATATTCTTTGTAATTCTTATGAGCACAATTTTGTTTAAACACAAAAAACTGCTATTCTTTTGAAAATAAAATGTTGGGAGCCGGGAGTTTAGCTCAGGGACGTTAAGTGCCTGCTTGGCAAATGTGAGATTGTGGGTTCAATCCCTGGCACCAAAAAATAATAATAATAATAATAAAAAATACTGAAAAATAGAATTTGATTTATTCAAATTATAAATCTTAACTCCTACAACCATGAAGACTCTCAGTGAAGAAGTCATTAAGACTGTTCGCAGACTATTTCCGTTTTCCTCATTTCCCTACTACATTTCCCTACCTTCTTGAAGTTAGGTGTAGCTGTATGATTTGTCTGGCTAATGAAATAGTAGCGGAAGTCAACTCTTCACTTCTAAGTAAAAGCCTTTTAGAGCTAATGCACAATTACTGCATTCACTACATCCTTGCCCATGTCCTAACAATTTGAGATGGTTGTTTACGACGAGCCTCTCACAGTCTAGGGATCCCAAGCTCAAACAGAGCTCTCATGCTGACCCTCACTGGCCATGGAGGGTGACAAAAGCAAACCTTCATTGGTTTAAACCATTAGAATGTGAGGGTCTTCTGTTACCACAGCATAACCTACTCTAGCTGACTGTATTCAGTAAACACCTTTCTCATAAATGATGTCAAGAGAATGAATGTGAATGAAACTTCTGCTATTAAATTGTCACAATTTAAAATGGTAACATTTTATACAGTCATTTGGAAAGTACTTTTGTCTAAAATTGTTCCATGTTTTTCAAATTCATGATCCAAACACAGCAATCCATTTATGGATTCAGTTTGGGTTCTTTTTAATGGATTCAGTTTTTGTTTTTAGAGGCAGGGAAAAAACCCAGAGGTCTTCATAACTAATGTACACCTCCTGACCTTTTAAACTTTTTTATTTTTAGATAGGGTTTCGCTAAGTTGCCCAGGTTGGCCTCAAACCTGTGATCTTCCTGCCTCAACTTCCCAGAGTGCTGTGATTACAGGTATGCACCACACTCTCAGTAGATTCAGACACATTTTAAAACCAATCTCTCACCACTTGCCATCTGAAATTCAAGAACCAAATATATTTGGATAAGATACTACTACTTGCCCTTCAAACTCTTCCCTACTCAGAATGGACTCAATTTAGGCAGTGAAGGATTTCTGATATATTCTTTCTTTTATATCCTTAAAGTGTTTTTCTACCATTCAGTACAGCCTCAGCACTTATTCTGTGGATGAATTATGTGCTGTAATCACGCTAGTCTTACCAATAAGGAAACAGATTCAGAAGAGTTCAGAAAGTTGCTGGAAACCTTGCCCATTAGTCGCACAATCCTAGATTTTCTGGTTTCACATTTCTTTCTCTTTTCTACTATGTATCATGCTTTCTAACGTCTCCTAACATCTATAGAATTTACAACCTCACTGTAAGTTAACAGTACAAATTGTTGTAAAATAACATGCCCATCACATGCTCATATCGAGGAATAATTAAAGTACAGTAATTTCTGAAGACGTTCTGCTTACCTATACCTATTCTACTTTGTAGAAGGTACCCTGAAACACAGCACAGGGATATTCTCTAGAAGTTATTTAGTTCAGAACAATGTCAAATCCTAAAAGAATTCTGGGGAAAGCCTGGCAAGTGTGAGGTAATGAGTTTGATCCCCTGTATGTGTGTGTATGTATATATATATATATATATATATATATATATATATATATATAAAATCTGGGGAAAAGTCTTCTCCAATATACAGTATATTAAAATCCTGACTTTTCAATCAACTTCACTTTGATTCTTGTCAAACTGACTAACTTCAATCTTTTTGCCTTCGAGTTCTTCTCAAACTTCAGATATAAAACATACTTATCAAAAACTATCTAAAGACTAGACAATTCATTACATTTGGAAAAGGTCACAAAATATAGCCCTCTTTAATGAGAGCTAACTTGCTCACCAGCATCATAAACTTTCAGGAAATTTTGTGGTTAAAAAAAAACCCAATACAAACAAAAACAATTGAAATTTGTGTAACCATGCTATCTGAAACGTATTAAGCTCAGAATTTTACTTGAAGAAACAAATGACTCTTTCAAACATGGTTTAGGAAATACTAATCTAGGTTCTCAATGGCCAGATGAAGCCTTTAGAGAAATTATTTTCAGTTTTTTTTACTGCCCTATACTGAGGAATGCTTGTGCTAAATTCATTATTTTCTGCAAGGATGTTTTAAAGATGTTGTCAACTGCCTCATAATCTCCTTTTCCATTAGAGACCATGAGAAAATGTTTTTCAGGCCTCATTACTACAAAATGTCTTTCTTAGCCAGAACGGATTTTTTTTTTCATCTAAATTGGAATCAGAAACATACCCAAGCCTACTTGAACACCCACCATTTCTCTCACCTCATCGAGGCCCAAAGACCAAATTATGACTCAATTCTAGTATAGGACTTCATATTATATACTTGGTATTTACTTTTTCCTTCATTTTTATATTTTTTTCTTCCTTACTTTAATATACTCATCTGATTGTATTACATCACCACTAAACTGTTTCAAATAATTTCTGGAACGCTAAAGTGTGTATTTTAAGTTTTCTCTCCTTGCAATTTCATATTGATTTCTCTTTCCTAGTCTCATTACCAAAAATGTGAGTATATTCGACTTTAAAAGTGGCATTCACGCTAAATCTGGCAAGCCAATGAGTACATGGTACACAATACTGTAAAGCCAGTAAGTCCTTTAAACCAGAAAAGTTTTTCCTCAGTGCTCTAATAACCAAAAGGACTTATTAAATAGTTTCCTAAGAAGAAGCAAGACTTCTAAACTCTTTCCTAAAAGGAAGAAAAATTAAGATTTATTGGGCACCATAAAACTGCTACAACTTAGTAACAGCAACTGCATTTTTAAAAGAAAGCTGAAGGGCATGGGCATGTACACATCTCTGAAAGGATGCCCAACAAATGGGCAATCCTGGCTTGCAAGAGTTGCTGGAGAGAGACTTTGTATCCTTCCTACCTTTCAGATTCTGTGGCTGTATCAACGACTCAAGAATATTCCTAAAAAATCAAATGAAACGACATAAAGGCGACAGTCGTGCTTCACTCTTTGACACAGCAAACTTTTTCCACCAGATTCTGAATTCCGGGATATGCACTAAAATAAATGTCTAAATGCGAAAGTTTTAACCAGGCAAGCCCGATCACCAAGAGATCAAGTATCTTCCTTTTTCGACACCCCCGAAGGGTGAGGCCATAACTTAAAAGGAAAACTCAGGCTGCGCAGGCTCGCAGGTAAAAACGCGGGGTGCTGGGGGGATCCCCAAACGGTTTCCAGTTTGTCCTATCGGCCACAGTAGTGCGGGAAGCTGTCTGCTCCTCCCGGGCGCGCCGGAGACGCCGCGCCGAGAACTTTGCCTAACTCGAAGGCGGCCCGGGCCGCGCGGATCCGGGGCTCAGTCGGCGAGGCCGGCCCCGGTTCGAGTCCTGGACGCGGCCCGAGGAGGCCCGCCTGGCGCCACGGCCCCGGACCGGGACGCCTCACAGCGACCCCGCAGGCTGAGGAGCGCCGCGGCCGGGCGAGGGGAGCGCGGCGGGCCCGCGTTCGCAACGCCGAAGAGGAAGTCGCACTTACCGCGTCGGCTCCGGAGGCGGCCGGGGTCACGGGGGGCGGGGCGGCCGGCGGGAGGAGGGGGAGGGGAGGCGGGGAGGGGGCCGGAGGACCGAGGAGAGGGATGCTCGGCCCTTCGAGCGCGACTCCTGCGCCCCTTCCAGGCAGCCTCACCCCCGGCGCCGGCCACCCGGCCGGCCCGAAGCCTGCAACCCGTTCTGTCAGGCCGCGCCGGGCCGGAGCCGAACTCCTCGGGCAGCCCCGGAGGGGCGGGCGAGCGCGCTCAGGGGTGGGGGTCGGGGACCCGCTCGCCCGTCAATCCCGGCGCGGCGCGAGCGCCTGCCAGTCCCGCCCCATCCTCCAGGCCCCGCCCCCGACAGGCCCCGCCCCCGACAGGCCCCGCCCCTCGAGACCGCGTGCGCCTGGGGGACCGGAGGAAAGGGGTGGGCAGCGGCGACGGGGTGGGGGGACCTCTGAAGGGAAGGGGACGCCACGCTGGGTGGGGCTCTGGTGAAGAGGGGGCGGGGCAGGCCGTCCTCACAAAGATTCCGGCTGTTCCCGCCCCTTAAAACTGGGATAGGGGAATTCCTGGGGGTGGAAGTTTTGAAAGAGGTCCCTCTGCAGGGCTGGAAGGCGATCAGAGAGCAAGCGAGTGTTTTCTCCGCGCTTTGGGGGAACTACCAGGAGTTGTATGCCTTCTTCAGCTCCTGTCACTTTTCCCTGGCGATAATCTGATAGCTACTGTTCCCTTTGTCTTTGTGACATCAGAATTATGATCACCAGTATTGACCATAGCACTATTTTCCAGTGGTGGAATCTAAAAAAATAGGTTCCTTATTCAATCCTCTAACAAATGTATATTGAACTACCACATACTAGGTGCTGAGAATAACCATAACTAATTTACGTAGCGTCTACATACCAAGTACTACTCTCAAGCACTTTATATGTTACCTTATCATTGAGTTTGAGCAAAACATCAATGGTCCCACCTGCCTCTCATAATTCTAGGGGATAAAAGAAGTGGAGGAGCTTCATTTTCCGGAGTAACGTATAAACCAAGTGCTTGACTGCTTTTGTTTCTCAAAGTAATCTCCGTATTCTTTCTTCTTTATTTTTGCAGATTGTGTTTGCTACTCAGACCTAGCTATATGCTGTGATAGTTAAATGTGTCCATTTCCTCCAAATGAAATTTGCTCAGATTTTCAGTGCTTCTCCTTAAAAAAAAAAAAAAAAAAAAGGAACCAGTACAAAGCAAGTGGTCCAGAAGACTAATAATCGAAGAACAGAACCAAATTGTGGTAGCAGCCTAGAGTGGCTGGGAGAGCTATTTAAGGATATTTTGTCCATTTCCTTTTGGGGAAATGGTTAGAAAAAGCAACATAATGTAAAATCAGGAAGTATCGACATGGACTGCTAGTTCAAAAGGAAGAGGATGGGATGAGTTAACATTGTTACAATCAGGAAGGGGATAGATATATCACAGACTCTTCCAAGGCCGGCTCCAACCACAATGTGCAAGATAAACAGTTTTTATCCCAGCTGTGTGGGATATATACCCTCCACCTTTTACAACAATACCTACATGCATGGATTAAAAATTACCTCTATAGCATTGTCTTTACGTATTAAAAAAAAACTGGGTATAACTACCGGCTGAAGTTTTGGAATTTGATACTACCTTTCACCCCTTTGCTTTCTTTAGCATTAACATTTGTGATCATTAATAGCAAGTGACATTCCTCTCATTGTCTCCCCTCCCCCTCTCTTCCTGTTCATAATTATTTCTTGTTCAGTTTTGGACTTTTAATTCCATCTGTTTCTTTCTGGTTTATGATGTGAAACACTAGAAAAGCTTGCAATCAAATCAGATTATAATTGTGGGAAAAATTAAATCCTGCCTTAAGACAGGATGTCCCATGCACTTTCCTCTCCTTTTTTTCTGTCAAACATATTGTTCATTCTATTCTGAAACCTATTTCATGTGATTTACTAACTGATGGAGTGAGCTATTCATGAAAAGGTCTCCCTTTTCCTTCATATTACCTTTCCTAGCCAGGAAAAGTGCGATCTATGTAGTGTATGGAAACCTGCTGCTTCTCCCTATCTACCTAGCACGCTTGTCATCTGTTTGATTGTCTTCTCCCACTGGAATGTAAACTCCATGAGAAGAGAGCTTTATTTAGCTCACTACTGAACAAATTTTTTTTGGATAGAAAAATGACTCCACATAGAAGAGATAGCATGTATTGTTTTGTAATGGCAGAAAGCTTTCATGTGATATACCTTGAGTCGTATGATTTAGGCATTTTTCTAAAATGTAGCCCAGTTTTGCTCGTTTTTAAAATTAGAATTGGAAAAGGCTGTTTTTATCTCTCATTCTGGCAGTACTGAGCAATAGCATTTCAAGAAGAAGTTACAGCTCAGAATTATGTTGAGATCGTACAACTTGACCTATAAATGGATTCATGGAGTCAGGGAGTAATAATAGATCAATAAATGGTGTGAAAGTCTTAATATTTGTCTCTGAGAGAAAATACAGCAATGATCAGAAGTGAAATAATTAAATCTAAAATTTTATACTGATAACTTGACATGATGGTATTAATATGATTCCTTTTATAAATGCTTAATAATGTTAATTGATAATGACTACAGCAAGGTTAACAATTGTCAGGTCTCAGACAAATATCCAAAATAAAGGCCTCAAAAAGTAGCCTTACTGGGCTGAGGAAAGAGCTCAGCGGAACAGGTGCCTGCTTGGCAAGTGTGATGTCCTGAGTTCAATCCACAATACCAGGGGAAAAAAAGTTTTTAACCTTGTCTAGCCCTAATGTTTTTCAGCCCTCATTCTCCAAGGCAAGCCACAAACCTGGAATTCCCTTTTCCCAAAATGGGAATTCCCCCCCCACCCCACCCCAGGCCAAAGAGAGAATGTACTGATTGAAAGCTACAGCTGGGGCTGTCCTGGATGTCCTACAGCTATTGGAGGAGATGTTTGCCTTGACCAAGGCAGGCTTGAACTGGATTCAAACACGGCTTGAATTTGGACCAATCAGCAGGCTCATATTTTGACCAATTACAAGCCTACTGGTGCAGTATAAAGGGGGCACTCCCCTCACACTCTTGCAGTTCATCTCAATGGCTGTCTTTAGTGTAGTACTGTACTGACTCACATATGCTATAGTACAGACTGCCCCTCCGGTGGTCCTATAAATCTGCTGGTTGATTATTTTTCAGGTAGTGTAAACTCGGAAGGACCTGAAAATTTACACAGGGTTATTTGGCAGTGTGCTACCAAAGCAGGTTATTTTCAAAATAACTTTAAACACCAGGAACTGTTAGCCTTGAAGGAATTCTTAGAGACCCTAGGGAGAAACTGACAAAGATCAGAGATTGGCAGTGGAGACCCGTGTCTGGACATAGTGATGACCGACAAACACCATCAGTAACCACCAGCACTGACCATTGTCAGTGCAGAGCACTGGATGACAGCCAGCAGCAATCAATGACATTTCACTGGGATCCATACAGACCAGCCTCTGCTATAGGACTTGGAGTCCCAAAGCGGTAACACCAAGGACTGAGAGCTGCTAGCTGAGCCCTACTGTGCTGATTCATGAATTCTAAAAAGACCCCTTAGCTGTTTGGAAACAGGATTTTATTAATCAGAACTTTTTTTCCCCAAAGTCAGCTGTAAAGCCTAAAATTATTATTATAGCTACTTTTCCATGAAAGAGATGAACATAAGGATATTCTCTGATCTACATTATTAGATGGTAGAACATAAGACCCTTGTTTGCAGGGATCCCCTATCTGTGTGGAAGATTTGCTGTAACTGAGGAGTCAAGAAGAATTGACACAGTTAAACTTGCCACATTTCCTTGTTTAATCTGCTCCTATTAGCTCTGAGGCTTTTTGCCCACTTATATTTCCACGTACCTGTCTCTGCTTCATTAAACCTAAGCATAACAACTATCTTTGGGTCTTCACTCTGAAGTCTCCTACATCATATAAAAACTTATCAATTTGTTGTACTTTCTCTTGTTCACTTGTTATTTATTATAGCAGTGGCAGCTGTGACCCTTAAGATGGGCAGGAAAGGGATTATCTCTCCTTCCATCCTTACATAATGAATGTTTTAATTTGGGTGAAGTGTAGTATTAACAGTAAATAGAACTTAATCACGGCATGCAGATGCCCTTCATGAAGAAATAGTTTGACTTTTCATTTTTTGCTTTGATTATTGATGTGTGCATGGGGAAGATTAAAAGACAGAGTTATGATTATGTACAATGTATATGTTCAAAACCTGGATCCTAGAAATGGGATGTTTAAAAAAAAATATTTAGGGTTTCTTCAGCAGTATAGCTGCTGTCCATGAAAGAGCTCATCTCAAAACAGTCTGTTAAGACACAGAGCTATGGCTAAGGGCAAAACTGTGTGGTTGATCACTTTGCCTAGCTTGTATTAGGCATGGGATATAGATGCTAGGACCATACCATACCATGCCCCTGGCAGAAAAATCTCCAGGTTAGAGATATTCTTTCCTCCAGGCTTTCTTTTTCCACACAATGAGTTCATGTTTCTGCCTTCCATTTGTGTTGTGTCTTGTGTCTAGATGTCCCACCAGTCTGAAGCAGTTATAGGTGTGGCTTTTTCAGAAGTGGCTGGAATTGATTCATGTTACAATGCTAGGCTTGAGGGCACTAGGATTAAAGATCTGAGTGCTACTGGATACAATATAAATGATATATAAGGAACAGAAAGACCTTTGTCTTATCACCCTCTTGCTACCTTCTGCCTCCATGAACTGTTTTTCCTTTGCAATGCCTGTCTGCTGTCCCACGCTGCCTTAGAGGCAGGCAATTATGGACTGGAACCTCTACAAACTGTGAGCCAAATAAACATTTCTTCCTTTAACTTTGAGTGTTGGGTATTTTATCCCAGCAATGAGAAAAGTAACTAAATCAATATGAAAAACATTATCTTGTCCTAACCAGAGCCAAGATTAAAAGCCCTTCCTGATCTCCTGGCCTGTTGTGGTTTAGATCTAGAGTGTCCTCCTGAAGCCTCAGGTGTTCAAGGTAGGGCTTTTAGACGGTAACTGGATCACAGAGGCTCCATACCATCAGTGAGTTAATCCACTGATGAATCTATGGCTGGATGTGCCTTTGGAGACAGGGCTGGTTGGAAGAAGCAGGGCTACTGAGGGCAGGACCTGCAAAAGTAGATCATCCCTCTCAGCTCCTCCCTTCTCTCTCTGCTTCTTGACCTTCAGGATGTGAGCAGTTTCCCACGCCCCAGATATTTCACTATGGCCTTCCTGCCTTGGAGTCAGCCAACTATGGGCTGAATTCTCTTGTAACTATGGGCCAATTTAAAACTTTCCTTCTTTAGGTTTCAGGTGTTGGGTACTCTGCTTCTGGAATGGAAAAGTGGTTAAGATGAACTCCATTCTTCCTCCTTGTCAGTGGGACATGACATGGTCCCAGTCACATTGTAGGACTGTGCTAACAACATAGGAGACCCTTCTGCTGGGGAGACTTGTTCTCTACACTCATTACAAGCCCCTGTCAGCCCACTGCTTACAGTCCCAGAGTGTTCATAGAAAAACTGCCGCACACACCACTAGAGACATGGGAAGGAATGTGCATTCTCTCACGAACATGTTTCCATTCACCTGAAGTTCTCCTATAATCAGACTGTATTTTCCAGCTGGCAAAAAGTAAACCTAACTCTATTCATCCTCCAGGACTCTGCTTCATATGCTGTAGTGATCCTCTGTTGTTTTGAAGGCCACCTTTGCATATTGGTGTAAGATTCTTCTATTCAAAGGGTCTACAACATATCATTTATCTCACTATTCTGACTTTAATTATGTTCGTTCATCTGGAATGCCCGTCTTTCTGATGCTGGTGGATCTCAACTCAGCTCCAGGGTAATCCCTATCTGGAACTTACCAGGCTGAATGTACCCTGCAGTACCCTGCATACCTCTCTATTTTAGCAGTTACTCACTGGGCTTTGAATGTTGGTTTATTTGTCTGTTTCCTTGACTACTGACTGCTACAGATACTTATGAATATTTTCTGAATGAATCAATGAATGAATAAAAACACTTTTTGCCTACAAAGCCTTGAGAAATAGCAACTTAATAGGGTATGACCATTTCCCTCTCTGAGTATTACAACAAAAACAGACAAGGACAAAAAATAGACAAGAATTTGCCTCTAATTTACAGTGTTGTACCATTAGTTTCATGAAACTTTAGAAAATTTTCAATTTAGGATTCCAAAAACTTGTAAGAACAAGGGTTATGAAGGAATAAACATTAAGTGTTTGTGTTTATTGCCATGCATTAAAAATTATTCCAGTATCTCAGTATAGTTAAACCTTTAAAAATAACAGTTGCATAAGTACTAATTGATGGTGATTTTTCACTAGTTAAAAAACATCTTTCATTTGACATATTACTTCCTTGTCACTAACAGATAGGAACCATTCAATCAGCTTTCTATTTTCATATGTTCAGAGAAATTCATGATTGCTATACAAGTTTAAGCATTCAAGTTTGTTACTCTGCTGATAATTTGCTTACAAAGTATCCAATATTAACAAACTACTTCTTATGCAGGAGTGAATCAACAATGATGAATCAAGCAGGTATGTAAACAGAAGTTGTCTTCTTTATTTTTTTTCTTCTCCTCCTCCTCCTCCTCTTCCTCTTCCTTCTCCTCCTTCTCCCCATACCAAACTCAAAACCTAGAGCTTGCCAGGCAGACCCTGTGCCACTGAGCTGTGTCCCCTGTCCCCTCAAAGTGTTATCTTTATTCTTCCTTCCTTGGAAAGAAAGTCTTTATTCTTTCTTTCTCGGCTCCATTTTGTTCATCTTTTCTGAACCACACATCATCTGTGTTCACACTTGCATTCTATATTCAGAGTCTATACTTGGCCCAGAATCTTGAGGGAGGATTCTGACTGAGTAACAAGCAGCTGACCTGTGATAGAAAAACAGCAGGTGACTAGAAGGTGGCACACACTGTACAGTTTGAAGACACTCAGTAATGTAAGCAATACAAAGGAGAAGGAGAACAAGTATCTCATTCTCCCTTGCTGCAACCCCAAGAAAATAAAAAAATTACCATTTAATTATCATTTAATTCATAAGGACTCTCTAGTTGCAGCCTGTTTTTCTTTTTTTTTTAAACCTGAGACTGCATTTATTGGCTATGATAACTTTCAAACTCTGAGCAATTGATTTTACTCTATCAAAGAGTCAATCCTTACATTATTCTAGCATCATGAAGAATGTTTGATCATGTGTTTCTCTTTACCCCTGTAATTAATAAGTTAATACATTTCCGTGTCAAATTAGTTACCAGAAACTTTGTTGCTAGCCGCTGGGATACATAGTAGTCCTAGAAACTCCTTCCAGGGTGGTTTTCTCTTCTTTGTTTCCTTCGAGCGCTCCAGCTGGGTAAACCACCCTGAATCACAGTGCTTTTAGTGACTCCAGCAGACTCTCCCGCACAAGCGATTGTATCAGTACAGCGGGATTTGTTAGTGGACACAAACGGCCTTCCAGCCACAGTTGACTGGGTTGGGGACGGTCCTAGCAAAGCAGCCATGCGTGGACTTCACACCAGGAGTGGGTGTGAAGCCTGGGGCTCCGCTGCCCAGTTCTGAGCATTTCCAACGTGGTGGTCCTGAATGAAACCCGAGTTTTTCCTCCGGGAGGAAACAGAAAGAACCACAAGCGCACTTTCTGGTTCTCTGCGAAGCTGGCTGTGTTTCCCGAGTTGGCCCGGTTACTCCGCAGGCTGTTGAGCAGGTGACCTCCCCCGAGCCCTCGAGCCCCAGGGATCTTTGCAGCAGCCTCGTCCAAGTCACTGAAGGGGACAACAAAGCATCTCTGTCATCTCCTGCCCTCGGGTTTTCGTCTGTGAAACTCAAGCCCTGGTCCAGGGGAGAGCTGCCAGCCTCAGAAAGGCCACTGTAGTTCCTTTATTTCTTAATAATCTCCATTTCTAAAACAGTAAAGAGGCTGTGAGAGGGAAGAAGGGAGGGAGGGAAGGAGAGACAGATACAGAGAGAGAAAGAGGGAGAGAGAGTAGTTATAACTCACATATAATAAAATCCACCCCTCTAGCGCTAGAATCTTGACTCACACATAGTAGTTGCGTAATTAATAACACAATGAAGCTATGAAACATTTGCATGGTCCTAACAATTGCCTTGTGTCCTTTAGTCGTCAACCCCTCCCTCTGGTACCACTTACCTATTTTCTCTTCCCATGGTGTGTCATCCCCTGCCCCACACACCAGATGTCCTAGAAATGGAATCGTACAAGACCTTCATTAACATCTTTATTTTAAGCAACCTGTGTGCTGCACCTCTTTTTGGTAGCTCATCTCACCCCAGAATACCTAACATTACCTTAAAAACGTATTTTTGTGGTTATGGTCTTTCAAGTGAATGCTTGCTCCCCCTGGAATGTGAGAGCGAGGATTTTGCCTGTTTGCCACAGAATCTCCAGGGTTCAGGAGACTGCCTGGCATTTTAGAGTGCTCAGTAAATATTTGTTGAATGAACTGCAAAACGTCTGAAGAGACTGGATCTTCTCAGGACCCTCTCCTTTGTACTCTGGCAAACCTTGTTAAAAAGATTATTTTCCTTACAGAATGTGTTAATCTAAGGATTGCTGTGTGATCAACATAGATGATCATCTGCAAGTAATACAATTAGAAGTAATTAGACTGGCCGAGATTATGAATTGTCTTTTAAATTCACTTTCTAGATGATTAGATTAGCCAGAATAGAACTGGCCTGAAGTGAGTAAAATGGTGATAATGATAGTAACTATTTCATAGGGTTGTTATGGGAACTAAATGACTTAATCATGTAAGAGAGATGTTTCCCACAGTAGGTTTCAACTGGGAGCTATTCTGCCAATATCTAGAGACAATTTTTTGTTGTCATTGTCAAAATTGGGATGGAGAGGACTGCTGCTGGTATCAGTTGCCGTATACCCTAAAATGGACAGGGCAATACCTCCAAATAGAAGATTGAATTTTAGGTATTCTAAGCATCAATAGTACTGCCAGTGAGACTCCAAGTTAGTATGGTGTCTGGTGCATAGTAAGGACTGTACTTGTGTGTTTAATGGGTGGGCCTTCCTGGCACACCTCTCTGTGTAGCTTCAGAGGGGAAGTACTAAGTTGAGAGCAGTCTGTTTGCAGTCAAACTGTGGGTTTGAAACCCAGCTCTGCTCTTCATTAAACTACCTGATTTTGAACATGTTATTTAACTTCTCTGCACCTGTGCGTGCGTGTGTGTGTGTGTGTGTGTGTGTGTGTGTACAAAATCAGATTAATAACAGTACTTCCTGTCTTAGTTATTTTATGATCATCGCTGAGACAAAATACCTGATGCCCAAGTTGAGAAAGGAAAGGTTTATTTCTTACAGTTTTTGGAGGTTTCAGTCCACACTCAGTTGGCTCCAAGACAGGTGGGCATGGCTGGACCACCGTTCATGGCAGCTGCAAATGGCAAGCTTGAACCAGCAAAGAGAAAGACACACCTTCTTCCTGCCATTACATCACATCCTGGCTCCACCCCTATGTGGGTGGAGCACTGACACCAATCCAAGCACTATACAATGAACCATCACAAATGAACAATGCAAACTCATGAGGCCTGGGGGACACAGACATAAACCATGACACTTCCCTTAAAGAATTGGTAGGGAACAGAATAAAATAATCCATATAAAACATATACATATTTTTGGTTGCACATATCAAATGTTCAATGCATGCCACTGATTATTGTTGTTGTTCTCATTTTTGACCCCAAAATGTCTTTCTGCAGAATACAAGAGAGACTGGGAATGGTTTCAACTAGCAAACAAATAATTAAACCTATTCATATAAAACATACACACATCAGTATTTTATATATTAATAGGTAACTACATAAAAATGAAATTTGAATCAATATTTTTAAGGTTGTTACTAATCTAAAGTTGTTACTATCTTTTAAAAGTATGAGATCTTGCCTTTCTGGTAGAGCAGCTTGTTAAAAATAAAATATTGTCTCATTTAGAAAATGCATATCTAGCACACAATGTCCAATGATTTAGTTAAGACTTTTAATCCTGATGAAAAATCTTAAAGTGTTTTGAGAAACTGAATTCAGATATGAAGTACAATACATGAAAGTTAAATACTAAACACTAGAAATCACATTTTCAATTTATTAATATGTCTGTGTTTTAGATTTATTAATCTCTTTTTTCCCTTTTGAGACAGGAGGAAGAAAATCATAGTGAGTAATTACAGATCGGTAGCCATTGGCTATATTCTCATTGTGTTACATTTGTGAATGTGCTTTGGAAATTGCAAGACATAACTATGGAAATATAGGCCATTACATTATCATCAACTATAGCAAGTTACTACAGGAACAGATGTTTCCTTTGTTGGGAGAGGTCATGCTTATTTATGTTTGTTAGTATGCAGTCCAGGCAGTCCAAGTTGGACTGCAATTTTGTATTTAAGAATTAAAAACCACTTTAAAAACTATAAATTATTTTGTATAATGTTATAAGTACAATGATAAAGAACTGTTTCTCAGCATAAAACATTCATGCATGTACTCTACATGTTTTAGAATCTATCACAAGAGAATTAGGGGAAGGCTGGCAATGTAGCTCAGCAGTAGAGTATTTGTCTAGAATGTGTGAGGCCCATCTCCAGCACTGGGGGAGGCAGGGAGACAAAAAAAGAAAGATAGAATATTTAAAAAAAAAACCCCACAAACCTCCACTGTATATGAAATGAAAAGGAAAATGCACCTATATGACAAAAATACATATTCCCAGTGGAGAAAAAGGCCTATAAGTTAATGGGAATAATATGAATATCCCAATAAAGGACATGAATGGGCACTTCATAAAAAAAGAAGTTAAAATCACCAGCACATGCAAGAAATGCTCAGAATTACTAGTGAAGAAACGCCTCTTGGGACCATACTGTGTTTGTGTCACATTAGCAAAGGTCAGCAAAATAAAGTGGCTGGTGCTGAAGTTTGGAGCTATAGGGACACTTTCAGCTACAACTGCCAGATGTGACTTCTGGGAGTCAATTGGCTGTACGAACCAAGAGCTTCAGAAATATTTATGTTCTTTTTTCTCAGTAATTCTACTGTACAATCAACCTCAAAAATTTGTATATATATATATATATATATTCACATTGTGATACTATTAATACATTTTTACATGATATAGAATACAGTTAAATGAAATATGATCCACTCATGGATCATTAAAGAATTGAATGCAGGCTTTAAGAATAACTTTCCCAGCGTTGAGTAACTGAGAAATGGTGGTACAGGAAGGAGAAGTTTGAGAAGACAGTAAATTTAATGGAACATGCCCCGAGAGGACAGCCAGGCAGCAAGGGGCCCCTCACCCATCCTTGGGTTCTGGGAGGCCCTCAGCTTCCCGCAGTTCCTCAAGGTAAATTAAGAAGATTAAATTCTAACGATGACCCAGATTCATACACTTCAGTGGCTGACATTCCTACAACTCTGACCTTCATATTATATATGTCAAAGCCGCAGATAACATGGTTAGAGAAAATTGCTTACACATCATTTAATGCTTGTCTACTCTAGGTTTGTTTATGTTTCGAACTTTTCTGTTACCTAAGTTCTATCCTCAAAATAAAATGTCAAGTGGAATCAAAGGTTAACACACAGTATGTTTATTTAAGGAACCTCATTCCTAAATTTTAGGGACTACAGATGGTTAAAATGCAACTATTGAATGATATAGTTCTGTATTTAGTAATTTCAGTTGTAAAAATTTTTTTGGTAATATTAGGGATGAATCCAGGACATTGAGTTGGCAAGTACTCTACCGCTGAGCTACATCCTGAGCCCTGTGAAACATCTGAGTGGATGAATTATGACAATCAGAAAAAGTAAGACTTCTGATTGTTTTTGACTTAAAAGATACCAGCTGCTATTTGGAGCTTGTCATTTGGCCATTGTTTTGCTAACACTTTAACCAGTGGAACTGTAAACAGAATGATAAAAGTTTTTATAACTATTGGATTAGTATTGGATTAGCTGAATAATTCACGGACAATAAAAAGCTTCCTGAAATATCTGAGGCATAGTTAATTTTCTCAAGATTTGCTAACTCAGAGATTATACAGTGATGTCAAGCAAGTGAATCACAGGCCAGCTGTGAGATTCTGATTCCTTATGTCTTCCAAGTGGCCAGTCTGTGGATTGGGATTTACAGTCTCTCTACTGATCTCCTGATGCCCATCATCTGGTCATCGCCAGAGAAACCAGGTGCAGAACACACATGTCCAGGAAGACAAAAGCCCATGGGGCTGCTAGAGAAAAACGCCTTTCAGGTGCCCAGGAGTAATCTAACCAGCCTTAGGTCAGTGTGATAGGGAGTAGGGTGTGTGTGTGTGTGTGTGTGTGTGTATATGCACACGTATCTGGACGAAGGACCACCACAACAATTTGCAAATCAGTAAGGATAAGTACTGGCAAGTGCAAGATCCTGAGTTGGATTCCCAGTACAAAAAAAAAAAGAAAGTGAAAATTAAGGTTGAAAAAAATAGTTAGTTAACTGCTTTTAAAGAAAACTGGTCAAAAAATTATGACTTGATGGTGATAATAGCAAGTAAGTAGTTGGTTGATAAATTTGTTACACTGTGATAAAATTTTTAAAAATTTGGTAAAATTATGGTTTGAATGTCTACATTCATAAATAAGAGTTAGAATGAGGAAATTATACAGGGTCAAACATGGAGAGTAGATTATTACTAACCATTAAGTAAAGCCTGGAAGATGGAGACACAAGAAGAGAGAATGTCTCCCACACCTTCTCATCAGCATCTCTACTGAAGACTTCTGCTGGTCCGTGTGCTAATGAGCCCTTCCAGTCAGACATACAGGGCAGGCCATGACTCTCCTGGGTTCTTTCCTTCTTTGGAATGATTTTTTTTTCAGTGCTGGGGATTCAGTGTGAGCTGAGAACATTCACACTGAGCTATAAATCTAGCCATTTTTATTTTAAGACCTTAAAAGTCTTAATAAGTTACTAAATTACCCATGCTGGGCTTGAATTTAACAATCCTCCCCTACCTCCACTGCCCTAAGCCCTGGGATTTCAGAGATGCACCATCACACCAAGTTTGAAATGATTCTTGCAGCTGTTCTTAAAATAAGTTAAATGTTTGGTGGTACCATTTTGACGGTTCTTGCACTGAGGTCTTAAAATCTCCTAACCTGTGATTCTTATCTGTCCATCAGTTGCTTTTCCAATCAGAAAAAAGTCAGTTAATTCACTCAGCAGATTCACAGCTCAGCTTTTATCTGGCTTCCTGCTCTTTACCATCTCATTGTTCCCCACAGAGCCCACAACTGGGTGGGCGAGAATAAGAAACAGGATAAATAGATAAATGGCTGGTGGGTGGTTGTGGGAGTAGAGAAGGGCATGAACAGGGAGAGAATGATTGGTTAATTTTTTTAACGAAAACAAGAATAGTAGAAATGTCATTTAGACTTTCTAAGTAAAAATATTGGCTTATACATATACTTTATTTACCATGAATGTTCCCCACCCTTCATTTATATTCTAGGACCTAGTAGTTTATTTTACAGGATTATCATAATGAAAGATCACTTGTAAAAAATAAGAGCACAAAATGTGGATTTTGTAACAATAATCACAGTGATTATAGGCATCATGGTAACGTGTTCCATTCTACTGCTTAGATGCAGGATAGGGAAGTAGAACTAAACATTTACATGAGTCTTTATTGTACATTTTGTACTTTTTTACTGTCCTAAAGATACATTGTTTTGAAAAGCAAATCATAGTACAGTACCTGGCATTAAGAGGGATCAACAATCACTTAATCAATGAACGAATGATGCCCATACAACCAGGGGATTACTAACGTTCATCGTTTTTATTTTTGAGGAGTATTTTGGTGAAACAGATTCAAATTTAGGTGAGGGTAAAACCCCTTTGCTTCCTGAGATCTTTCTTGTTTATGCTTTGAAAGTGCTTATGAGAAGATAGTTTTCTTAATGGAAAGTAACTTCAAATGAAGAAGTCTGAGTTCAAGGCCTCCTTTTTTCTAAAGTCTGACCCAAAAGGAAGTGAGTGTGAGGTGAACTGCATTGACTTACAGCACCACAGAGATAAAACTCAAAGCAGGAAGCGATATTTCATCAGTGTACTGCATGGAGCACATTTGTGTCATGTGAGTAGACATGACAAAAACAGTGCTTCTTAAACTATTTGTGGCAATAGTGATCACATTCATTTTAATTTTGCCAGAGTATTTCAAGACACCAAAAGGTGAGTGTATGATTATAATCTAGCTTTCCTTTCTTAATTTTTAAAAATTGTCAGCTAATGGTTACAGAAAAGAACTAGGATACATGTGCATGAAGTGAAGTTCTGTTTGAAAAACTAGTAAAATAAAATGAAATTGTAATTTTAATTGATGGTTACATGGTACAGTAACTTTTTCATTACTTATAGCATACATAAGCATGAAAAGAAATATTTAAAGTTGGTAGTTTAGATTTCAAACACTGACTTTATAATAATCTTTTGTCACATGATTTTGCTCTTTGAAAGTTTACTTCTTGACACTTTTGAGTACCTTTTATATTCTGGAATTATTTAATAAAGAAAGTCACATTTATTATGCTAAAATGCTTGAACTCCCTCTTTTGAAATTTAATGCAAATAATTTACTGCTGCTTTTGGAAAAATAACAGTGGACATTTTCAAAATATAATGGAAATAAGATGGGTACAAATTTAAGCAGGTGTGTGTGTATTTATGACTAGAGAAAAATGGAACAAAATTAACTCTGTGACTATTTCAGAGAATTGTTACATGACTGCTGAAACTTAGGATTAGGAAAATAGAGATAAATTTAAGCTATTTTTATATTCTAGTAAAAGATCTGAAAATGTATTAGTATAAATGTTTTGGTAGTATTTAATCATAAATTAAATAAGAAAAAGTAAAAAATAAAGTGTTGTATTGTATCATTAAATAGAAATCATGAGTTTATTGAAACCAGAGAAAAACTCATATTTGATTCCTTGCTGCAATGAATATTTATTGTTGTATGTATGTTATACTAAGAAGCCAGATAAGAATATTTTTGCTAGCTATATTTGATGCCATATTGCAATGCTTATTTAATGTTGACTATTAGATGATGCTAAGTAGCCAGATAAAAATATTTTTGCTAAATAAACACTAGGATGGCAATTTTGTGAGTGATCAAAGTTTTAAATTTTCTTTGGTCTGCTGCCATTATGTTGCTCAGATTAAGTGATATGACATACATTTTTGATGCTTGGTTTACTGGGTGATTTACAGACTAGTTAAAGAAAATCTACTTTTAAACTGAAGTGAGTAAGCTCATTTAATAATTACCTAAGGTAAGCAGCACTAAGGTAAGATATACCTACAAAAAATCCTGTTTGCTCTAATGAAAACCTGGTTATTGGCCCACTAAAGATTTAATGAACTATTTGTTAACCATTGGTTGATATTAAATGAGAGCTGGCGGGTCTAAAGTTCCCCTGTGCCCCAGGCAGATGTATGGCGTTTTTAATTCCTGTTTTCAGAGCATGACACGTGGCCTCCTGGGCCAGTGGTAAGCACAAAGAAGCGCAGCTCAGAGAAATTTGCAGGTAGGACAGATGGAAGCTTTAGTGGCCCCTCGTATTTGTGGGTAGAACAAAGAATATTTGTAAAATCCGTCTTCATCAAACTTTCTTGGCCTAATGGTAACGTGTCAGCTCTTCATCTTGACGGTGTTCCACAGTCATTTATAATGATGTTTATCTTCTTAGTTTCATAACTGGTTGCATCAGCTCTCAGTACAACCTTTGCTTCTCTGTCAGCTGAAAATACCTGTTTCTCTTTGCCTGACTCAGCTATCGCTTAGATTACTTGTCAGAGTCTTTGAGGTGATGGATTTATTTGGGAATTTTGTTTCAAAGGGTTCTTATTTTAGGCCAGCAAGCAAATATGTTTGAAAACCACTGTCATTTCTTGGAGGAAGGAATAAAAAGTTAATTAGTAGGTAAAATATTTTACATATGCAATATGTAACAATAATGCCATCTATTTATGTGCGTGTCTCTCTATATATATAGTGTGTTTTGAGATTTGTTGGTTTGGTTTGTTTATATTTAGTCTCACCCAGGTGTCCTTGAACTGGTAATCCTCCTGCCTCTTGCCTATTGAAATAAGTTGAATTATCAACCAGTACATTTCATAAAATAAAGTATTTAGTAATTATTTAGTAATTATTATTAAAGTATTTAAATAATTATTTATTTAATTATTTAAATGACAAATTAAGAGAGTTCTAAAAGTAGGAAAATTAATCTTGAAATTCTCATCTATCCTCACTCCATCTGTTATTGTTTCCTTTTCATTTTTAATGTTCTATTCATTTTAATTTCTAAGATAAACTTTTATAAAATTATTTTTGTTTATAAATTATTCACTGATACCCTGTCTTTAACATGTCAAATGAATTCAAAAGGAATCTTAATGAAGAGTAAGGTATTCGTGAGGTTTAGTAGATTGGATTTCAAAATAACAAATTTTCTGAAGTCCTGAGTTAAAAATCCAGCACTATGTTTGATCATTTTTCATCAAAAATGTATCTGAGTTTTTGAATAATCGCTAGTAGGAATATTCAATCATCACGTCACACATTGTAAGCTATTTAATCTAGCTCTGAGAATAGTAACTTCTTAAACATTGAGTCTTTTAAGTAAGTTTGCATTGGGTATGCATTGGCAAGATAACTGATTCTACAGCAATGTTTTAAAACGTTCAACTTATCTAGAAGACAGATAAGATACAGTAGTTAATATAATAGTTACATTGCATATAAGTAAGGGAGATCCAGATGGAAATGGATATATTTTGATTCAGAGAATCTTGCAAGAAACTGAAAGGAGCTGGTTGATCTCAAATAAAACTTCGCCAGTTTGTATTTGCCGGATTTAGTGGTTAAGACAGAGATGTGGTTAATTTTTGTATAAACCCCAACAACCTGTTACACATTGATTCTTTCATTCAACAATAGTATCTTCTCATTGACAGGAACCCAGGGCTACAAAAAATCCAAGGCAAGTCTTTTTTCAAGGAATTTTCAATTAGTTAGAAATCTAATAGTAGGCAACTAAATATAATAGCATAAATTCTAAAATAGTGGTGTAAAAAATGTTGTATGGAGAACATAAGTGTTGCTTCCAGTCCTGTCTTAAGGAATATTTGCCTTCTATTTTCATTTGCAAAGAAAAATAACAACTAGCAGAGTTTAAATGATTGCTTTGTATTTGCCCTTACTTCCTTATAGAAACACTGTTTAACAAAAATCGTGATTATTATTGATTTTCAAATAAAAAGTTTTCATATCAATATATCACAAATTCCTGAAACCAAAAATGGAAGCAAACTGTGCAAATGTACTCCCAGTGATTTGTGGCAATGTAGGGCAGAAATAGCACAGATAAAAACACCTTAAATTTAATTTTATCCAGCTGTTTTGACTTCTTCAGTTTTAAGAGCCAAACTCACATAAATTATGTTTACTAGCTTTCATTTCTCCTTCTACGTCACACTAAATGAACAGCCAACCTGAAGAAAACAAAGCATAAAGGAATTTCACTAACAAACTATAGGATAATCCCTGGAGTATAGGAGAGTATTTTCACAGCTTTCATGTCTGTATTATATATGTCTGAATTATAAACCTTGCATATTAAGGGTAAATGCAATTAATTTTCTCACAGTGCTATCCTGGTTCTCAGCATGGGCACTTAATTTTCTTCTCATTGACTGGTTCATAAAAATTTAATCAGTTCCCCCTGAAAAAAAGTTTTGGGATAAAGGCTTATGACTACTTAAATAATTTGTTTTTTTAAAAGATTGGGTCTCTCAATACTGTCCAGGCTGGTCTTAAACTCTTGGACTAAAGTGACCATCCCATTTTAGCCTCCTAAGTGCTGCATTTACAGGTGTGTACCATCTTGCTTGGTTTATAATTTAAAAAATTTTAAGATATTAATATTTATATGTTCCATATTTATAGGTACTATGCCAATATTTTTATTATATTTATTTTTATAGGTCATTAACAAAAGTGTTTTTTGAATTTGATCAAGTATGCTTATTGGTACATTTTAGGCATACATAATAATCATAGACACTATAGAGAATTTATATCTGCATATGACACAACTTGATTCTTTTTTCCCTCTATTTTCCTACCCTTCCTCCAATCCCCTTTCCCTTCCTTATTTACAAAAACTTTGCTTTAATTTTTTTCTTCCTTTTCTATTATTTTTTCTCTTCCTTTCCTTTCCCCCCAATACTTATATATATAGCAACTCATTAAATATTTCAACTTAGGGTATAGCTCAGTTGTGGAGCACATGCATAGTACGTGTTCAGACCTCACCAACATAATCTAAAAAATGTAAAAATCAGTGAATTCCTGGTGAAATATCAGGAAAATATTCTGAAAATATTCAGAAAGAAGGAATAAAACAGTTAGTAAATTTACTTTGTCCTAGGACTTCACTTACTGAAATTTCTCAATCATAACAGTTTAAAAATGACTACTAACAGGCACATTATTGCTGTGTGTATCTATTTTAGATAACATGTGCTAAGAGGGTTGAAATCCAAAGCTTTCCATTGTTTCTAAAGAACTGGCCTTATTGGCTGCCTATTAGGTTGTAATACCCACAACCCTTTCTAACTGCTCATTGTTTTGGGGTGGGGATGTGTGTGGTAAATGCCCTTAGTATGCCTATTTTTTTAAATAGAAAAACATGACTTTTTTGAAACATTAACATGGTGATACATCGTCCCCTTACATTGTTCTATCACTTGCTTACATTGTTCTAATCACTTGCTTATTTATGACAATGAACTTTTTGACAGTTTTATCCATTAATGTGCTGCTGCATTCTGAGTTGTTAGGACAGTACTTGCCACGTTAGGGGACAATCAATGAATATCTCTTGATTAAGCAAATTTTCTGAGTCATGTTGTTATGGAAATTTAAAAAACATTTTATTTTCAATCTCCACCATCATTTTGTAATTTAGGCCCATCAAGTATTACTGTTACATTGTTGAAAAATAAAATTCATCACAAGCTTAAAATTTCTAGGTCATGCAGCCTGTTAAATGTATCTTACTGAATATTTCACTTAAAATATATGTAGCTTTATTTGGAGCCTTTTTCCTTATTTATGAAGAATTTCAAAACAAATATTTACTTACTGTCTTGATAAGTAAAATGTTAGGTCCTAGATCTGCCTTTCAAATACTATTATGTTTTGTTAAAAGTTACCCAAAACTTTACCCTTGCCTTCAGAAGGCATTTTAAATCCTGTAAGTCAATCTATATCTTCTCTAGGTTCCCTGGCTTTTAATCTTGTTAAAACCACAGATATATTACCCATCTATAGCATGATATCATTTTTTTCTTTTTTCTTTAAAACTCAGTATTACTAGAGATGCTTTAACTGTTGGCCCCTAAAGTGAAGTATAGCAAGCTTTTGCTATGGAAATTGACATTCTATTTTAGTTTATGCTAATTATCTGTGACCAAAGGAAAACAACATATGCTTGCAAAGGTCTAAATTGCAGAATTATGCTACAGAATATCCAAAACTGATGAAGGAGCTTTAGAAAAATTGGTTTGGTTTTTATCTTTTTTTTAATTCATTATAAAAACTGATATAAATCTCTCTGTTTATGGGGTACTGTGTGATGCTTTGAAATATGTATATAGATAGATAGATAGAGATATCTATATCCTCAGACACTCATTCTTTCTTTATGTTTAAAACATTCAAAATATTTTCTTCCAGCTTTTGTGCAATACAGAGTACATTATCATTATCTACAGTCTCCCTGTAGTACAACAAAACATAAGAATTTTTCTCTTAACTTGGTACCTGTTGATTAGCTATGCTTAAAAGGCAGATTTACATGCAATAGAATGGAAAGACCTTAAGTACTTAGTTTCATGAATATTGACATTTATATGCATATATTAACTGCTAATGCTTATGAGACATTAATTTCCATCACCTCTGAAAAGACACCTCCTGTCTTTTCCTGACAAATCTCCCTTTGACCCCCAAGACAATATCCTAATCTGTTCCACCATAGATTAGTTTACCCATCTTCATTTTAATATAAATGGGTCTGGTTTCTTTAGCTTAGCATAATGTTTTGACATTTTATGTTATTGAATATAACACTTTTTCCTTTCTTTGTGTTCCATCCATTGGGTTAGTTCCAGTTATTGACTGTTATAAATATGCAATGGTAAATATTACTGTACCAGGGTTCATGGGAACCTATGTTTTCTTTTCTACTGGGTAACTCATAGTGGAATAGCTGACTGTTTCAGTCACTTTGGGTTGCTATTTAAAACACAATAGATTGTATGGCTTATAAATAGTATACATTTGTTTCTTACAGTTCTGGAGGATGGATGTCCAAAATTAGGGTGTCAGCATGGTTGGGTTCTGATGAGGGCACTCTCCCAGGTCACAAACTGCCTATTTCCCTGCATTTTCACAGGGCCCAAAGACAGAGAGCTCCCTCTCTAGCCTTTTTTCATAAGGGCACTAATCCCACTCTTTAGGACTCTACCCCATGATCTAACTACCTCCCACAGGGGCCATTTCCAAATAGCATCAAGTCAGGATTAAAGTTTCAACATAAGAATTTGGGGGGGCACCAACATTCAGTCTTTTGCACTGCGTATATTTACTTTTATAAGTAAATATGATTTTTAAAAGTGACTGAACTAGTAATGTTTCACGTGGCAAAGATTTTTATTTCCTTTAGTTTTCATTTAATGTGCTGAAACTGCACTTAGCATATGTATAGTTCTAAATAATCCACATTTCCCCCAAAGTCTCTTGATAACTAGTTAACAAAATAGTCTTGGTGTTGGGAAAATAAAACTTGACCTAGAGTAGTTTCCATAGGTCCTATGATCTGTCAAACAATGGGAAAAAACATCTGGTTCTAAGGATACTGTCTCCTTTGGTTATTTAGAGAGTAAGGGAAATGCTGCCCTTGAGAGTTTGTTGTTATTTGGATATTGAATGCTATTATCTGTGAAGTGTGTGAAGTCCAATCCAAGAATTTAATTAAAGTTATTTGGGATCAGCAGTGCCATTAGATACCCAGAAGAGGCAATTATCAATCTTCTCTGGATGGAAACATATTCAACCAATCCTCAAGTAATTTCCCTTATGAAATCCCAAGAGAAGTGAGTTATTATCAAAAATCACAAAACACACGAAGACTCAACAGAAACAACAAATAGAATCAAATTTTCAAAGAATTCAGTTACTTCAATATGAACAATATTTATTTTGGTTCAGTAAATAGATGTGGCATTAAAAGTTATGAATAATATCAGAATAATATAATTGGAACCTTATCTATCACCATATAAAAATCAACTTAAAATGACTTAAAAACATAAATGTAAGACCCAAAGCATTTACATTACTAGAAGAAAACACGAGAGAAAAGGTTTTGCATTGATTTAGCCAATGACTTTCTGAGCATGTCCTAGAAAGCATAGGTAACAAAAGTAAAATAATACAAATCAAAGTTAAACTAAAAAGCTTCTACCCAGTCAACAATCAACAGAATGAAAAAACTATCAATGGAATGGGAGAAGATACTTGCAAATTATATCTATTAAGGGATTGATATCCTATACATAATAAACTATTACAATTCAATAACTAAAAAAGCATAAATAACTAAAAAGTATGCAAAGGACTTAAAGTTTTCCCAAGACGTGTAAATGATGAATAGGCATGTGCAAAGGTGTTCCTTACTAATCATCAGAAATACAAGTTAAAATCACAATGAGTTATCCTTTCACATTACTTAAGACACTATTGTCCAAAAGACAAGATAATGTGTTGGTAAGGATGTGGAAAAAAGGGAATCCTTAACACAGTTGGTGAAAATATACATTAGTTAACTATTATGGAGGTATGTATGCATTAAAAATGGAACTATCATATGATCCTGCAATGCCATTTCTTGGGTATATGCTGTATTTTTAAAAAAACAAATCAGTGTGTCAAAGAGACATCCAGTTCCATGTCACTGTAGCATTACTCATAATAATCCACATCAATGAATGAATGAATGGTAAGGGTTCATCACTGGATGAATAGATACAGGAAATACATATATATATGTGTGTATATATATATATATATGTGTGTGTGTATATATATGTGTGTGTGTGTGAAAAATTTGGAAAACTAGAATTTCTAATTGTGAAAATAAAATTACAAATTAGAAATGCAAGTGGTGAAGTAAACAGATTAGGTACAACTGAATATTTAATAAACTGGAATACATACTTGAAGAAATTACCTAGAACATAGCATCGAGGTCCAAATAAATTTAAAAAATATGTAACAGAAGTTAATAGAAATGGAGAACAAAGGAAGATATTTCTTTTTTCTTTTACATGTGTCTATTTATTTTCTTTTCCTCCTTATATAAAACACAAACTCCCTAGGGTTAGAATTACAGGCATGCACTTCCATGACAGGTATGTGCTTCCAAGTATGTAATCAGTATTGCTGGAAATGTGTCTTCAGGGTGGATGAAGGAAGATATTTCTTTTTTTTTAATTTTTTTTTTTTTTGGTCTTTTTTCATTTTTATCGGTACCAGGGATCGAACTCACGACCGCCTGCTTGCAAGGCAGGTGCTTATGCCGCTGAGCTAAACCCCCAGCCCCAAGGAAGATATTTCTAATCAGGGCTGCAAAAGAAGGGAAGATAAAATAGGGAAAAGACCATATTTGAAGAAATAATGTCTGAGAATTTTATAGAATCAAGGAAAGACATACTCAGATTTAGGAAACTCAACAATTCCCAAAAAAGAATGAATAGAAACAAATTCTGCAGAACATGAAGCTAAAGATGTTTTTAAAAACCAGAGATAAAGGACTTCCAGGAGAACATAGCAGATAGATAACAGCAGCTGTGGAGGCTCTCCGAGATAGCCAGCTTAAAATCCAGAAATGGTGTGGTGTGAGGAGTCCTGAGCAAGGGGAGATATACCCTGCTGACCCAGGAACAAACTAAGTTGAGAGAAACCAATTGGAAATGTAATCCCGGTGCTATAACTGGAACAGATAAAATCTCAGCAGAAGCTGGAACCCACGTGGCGATTTGAATTTCCTGCCGCCACTGCTGCATCTGAATAAGCACAGCAGGAACAGAGAGGCGAAACCTCTGAGAGTGGGAATTGGCAAATGGAGCTGAGAGCGGAACCGGCGGGGAGCCCTGCATTGACCTATGGTGAGTGAGAGGAGCAGGGACCCTTCCATAGACTAGGAGGCTCCAACAGAGGACATTCTGGGACCTGGCAGACTAGCTGGAACAGGACGCTGCAGTGACTTTAGTCACATATTCCCTCTCAAGCGGGATTGGTAGGGAGCCTTGACCTGGGTGACGCCACGGACTAAGACCCAGTAGGCTAGCCCAAATCAGATCCCAGTGCCTGGCGGTGCACTCTAGCAGTGAAGCTTTCAGTAGGTTGACTGACCTGGAGGGGTGGGCACAGGAGACTGCCCAAGTCTGTGTCTCCCTGGTACACTGCAGGGGGCGGGAACACCTAGCCGGCGGATTCAAACAAACTGTAACTGACAAAGAAAAAAACTGGGCCTCCTATATACGCTTGCATGGAAGGAACAAAAAGTATGGGAAGAGGGAGCAACAAGAAAGGGTCCTCAGCCCCCAATCCTGAGAACACTGATAAATGCAAAGGTAAATGCAAAGGAGAATGAGGACAGAAAACATGCAATATCAGACACGGCACCAATAGACAGTATCTCTGGAGCCTCATAGACAAGTTCAAAAGTGAAGTATTTAATGACCTAAAGCAAGATATTAGTAGAATAATTTGAGAAATGCTAAGCACCACCCAAGAAAAAACAGATGGTGGAATGGAAGAACAGAAAAAAAGAGGAGAATTGTTTGATGGAGAAAATAGAGAAAACATAGAATATGTGAAGCAGGTTCAAAGAGATTACCAGGAAACTAAAAACCCTATTGAAAGCTGGCATAATAGCTTGAAAGAAACTAAGGATAGATTATCTGAACTAGAGGACAGATTTGTAATGTGGGAGCAAGAAATGAAAAACTTCTTAAAAATAACAAGAAAACAAACAGCAATAATACAAAGGCTTGAAGATGATAAGAGGATCTATAACTTAAGAATTAAGAATGTAAAAGAAGAAGTAGGGACACAAACAAATGAACTACAAAGGCTATTCACAGAAATAATCCAGGAGAATTTCCCTAATCTAACAAAAGGTAAAGATACTCAGATGTATGAGGCATACAGGACCCCAGCCACCTACAACCCAAACAGAGCTACACCCAGGCATATAATAATCAAAATTCCAGAAATCCAATATGAGAACAGAATATTAAAAGCCATCAGAGACAAGAAACAGATCACTTACAAGGGAACACCCATCAGAATTACAGCAGACTTTTCGGCACAAAACATCAAATCACGAAGAGCATGGGGGGAAATAATTCAAGCTTTGAAAGATAATAACCTCCAGCCAAGATTGATATATCCTGCACAACTATCCCTGGAAATTGATGGAAAAACTAGGTGCTTCCAGGATAGAGAGGAACTAGGGGAATTTGCAACCACCAATTCAAATGTACAGAGAATACTGCAGGACATTCTAAAAAAAGAAAAATACCAAGATTCCAGAAACAGTGGAAGAGAGGCTACAATGAATAGAGCAGAAATCAAAATGAAAAAAGACAAACTGACAACTAATGACAGAAAAAGAGCTCAACAGAAATGAGGCAGAGAAGGTTGAATGGTAGGAACTGTTATTTTGTAGAAAACAAGACATCATAATAGCTAGTGCTGATTTAATATCATCTTGTTTTGAAGTCCCACCAAGCTTTTGTTCTTCTGTTTCCATCGGTCTTAACATGTTGTATCTTATTGGATTTTATTATATGTGATAATATAAACAAAAACTTTTATAGACAAGGAGATTATACAGAAACCGTTGTTCATTTTCTGTTAGTTGGTTCTAAATACCCTGTAATACTGTCATTCTCTTGAATGGTTTTACATTGTCTTGATGTGTTTGATGCTACAGTATATGAAGTTATACTCAAGGATTTCAAGGAAAGAGACGCTATGGTAAGTACTTTTATGTCGGGATATCTGGTAGTGAAAAACTATTTTGCTTAAATGGTTATGTTTTGACCTGTGCTGTTTTGCTGTTATGCCCTTTTTTATCTCAATCTCCTTTTTTATTATTTACTTTTTATTTTTATCTTTTTAATTAAGGGAAAGATAAAAAAGCAGGATATATTATAGTAACCCACTTTGATTTCCTATTAACTTGATTTGAAACCCTGTATTGCTCTCACCATCTTGTTTTGACTGATTTTCCTCTGTTCTGTTTTGCTTGATACTACCAAGTTCGAGAGTATAGGCAACAACTGTGAAGACAATAAGATTCATTATGACGCCCATTCTGGTTGGATTATTATCTTCTTTTGAAGTGCTGTAATGTCTCCAATGTTTTAGTTTTATTGGTTTTGTTCTTTACTGTTTTGTTCAATTTTATTATAACTGATGATATAGGCAATTCTTTTTAAGATAGCAAGAGGCATTATGGGAACCATTGTTGATCACCTTGTTTTTTGTTTTTACAGTACATTTTATGTCCATCCTTTTGATTTGACTGACTCTGTTTTGTTCTGTCACATTTGGTTTTATTCTCTTCAAAAAAAGTAATAAGAACTGTGGGAGTAATAAAACCCAAAATGTGTAATTGTCATTGTACAAAAGAGAGGAAAAGAAAGTGCTCTAAAGGATATAACTGCATGTATATTTAAGTGTATAAGATAGATAACCATATTACTGAGTTTTGTTGGATCATTGAATAGAACTCTTTGCAGTCTCACTGTTTGAATGTCCACTTTATATGCTTTAATTTTGTAGCTTGAGCAACTATTTCTAAGATGACAATATGTAATCTATTAACTAGTGATGTCGTACTGTTTAGTTTTTCTGAAATTCTGTATAACTTGTACCCTTTTTCTGTTTTCTTTCCTTTTTCTCCTTAAATAAAATTAAAAAAAAAATAGAGCTAAAGACACATTGTCTTCAATAGTTAGAATGACAGCTCATATCTTGAAAAGAACAGTTAATATCAGTGGAATAATGCATCCAAAGTGCTGTAACAAAATTATCATCAATCTGAAATAGGTGAGATGTACATTTTTAGACAGAAAGGCAGAAAATGTACAATTATCACATTTTTGGTGAAGGAGCTTTTCTGAAAATTAACTCCAAGAGAAAGAAGATAACTCCAAAAGAATGTCAGAGTCATAAGAAGAAATGACAGAAAAAAAGCAGCAAATATAAACATGTGAGTAAATCTAAAAAAACCTTGAAGATATTGATTAAATTAATTAATTAATTATTAATTATTGATTAAATATTGATTAAAATAATCACTGCTTTATATCTGTAAGTTGCATGTCAGTGATAAAAACAAGATAGTACTAAAATGATAAGCTAAGGAACACTGAAGTCAGGAATTTTTTGAGGACTAGTATATCTTAGTATTCAAGTGCAACAAAAATGGTACAAAAGAGAAAAAATTTGCAAGCCGATCTCATTTGTAAATATGGTTATAGAACTTTAAAGCACATCATTAAGAATTTTAGTGTAGGGCTGGGAATGTAGTTCAGTGGCAGAGCACTTGCCTAGCATACAGCAGGCCTTGAGTTTAATCCTTAGCACTGAGAAAAATAAAATGAAATAAAATATATAAATGCAACAATGCAGAAAAATGATCAAATTAGATTTATTGCTGGTATGCAGGATTGAGTTAGCATTACATAATCTAATAAATGTAATTTACTATATTTAACAGATTAAAGAAGACAATATAAAGGACCATGGCAAACTATAGTGAATGTTTAAATTTCAAAAAACTTCTTAGAATAAAAAAAATTACCATTGAATGCCCTCAAAATATTTCCCCTCACTTTGAACACACTTGCTCACTCTTTGACACTTTCTTAGGCAGTTCTGGAAGTTGTCTTTTATAAGTGTCTCTAGTTACACTATGATGGCTACCTTGGTATTTTGAATGATTCAAAATGTTTACCTTTTACAATCATTTTGACTTTGTGCAAGTCACTTGGTGCCAGATTCAGTGAGTGAGGTAGGTGAGGACTCAAAATATTTTTACAAGCTTGTCTTAGTTACGTTTTTTTTCTTTGCTGAGACAAAATACCCAATGGCCAAAATTAAAAGAGGAAAGTTTTAATTATCTCACAGTTTGTGGAGGTTTCATTCCATAATTATCTAGCTTCAAGGCAGAGTGGTGTGGCAGAGGGGCAACTGTTTATCATGGAGCAGGACAGCAAAAGCAAGAGAGTGTAAGGTAAGCCTCTTTCTGTACCTTATATTGTATCCACTCCAGCAGGATTAGGGAGGTGCCAATCTAATCAATGGACCAATCCAGCAATCACCCACCCTTAATCCCAGCATTGCTCTATGAATCAATCACACACTCTAGATTCAGCCACCTCTGGAAAAACCCTATGACTGTATGAGGCTTTGGGGGACATCTAGACACAAACCATAACACTGCCTTTCTATTGTATGTCACTGGGAGTGGCATTTGCCATAGTTTTGATTCCACTATGTAAAGACAGTTATGAAAGAGGACTTCCAGAATTGCTTCAGAATGTGGAAAAAAGATAAGGTAAATGTATATTCAAAATGAGGGTGGATATTTTGAGGGGGCTGAATGACAATGTATTACCATAATACATTTTTAAAAATTTAAATATTCACCACATATTTTGATCGCAACTTGTCTAACAATCTTGATAGCTATTGAAGAGTGTTCAATTATATTTAATAGCCCTCATAATAAATAATTTAAAGCAAAGTAGGAATAGAGAGAATTTTAAACTGATAAGAGATCTAAAAATGATAATAGGAAATGTAATCTTCAGTGTTTAAACACTATACTATAACATTCTTAAAATCAGGGGCAAACAAAGATGATCCTTTTCAACATTTCTATTCAACATGGTACTGGAGGTCCTCCTCAGGAAACAGGAGAGTTAAAACAGTGAAAAGTATAAGAATGGGAAAATAAGAAGACTGTCACTATTTGTAGTCAATATGCGTATCTTCATAGAAAGCCCAAATCAATAGAAAAAAAGTTAAAATTAATAATGTGGTTTAACAAAGAGGTAAAATATAAGATTGTTATTCAGAAGTCAATTGTATTTCCTTATGACACAATTGTACAAAAGCCACATTTCTTAAAACATACTGTACTTGTTGGCCATAACAGCAAAAAATAAAGTTCCTAGGAAGAAATCTAACAAATGATACATAAAATCATAGTAGAGAAAGTTGAGTAATTTTACAGAAAATTATCATAGAAAAGCTTTATGAATAGAGAAAGAAAGAAATAATAAAAAGGAAGAAATGGATGATATCTTTCTTCTCCAATTACTTTCTACAATCAAGTCAGAAGTTTCACTGAACTTAAGGTGACTCTAAAATTTATTGGAAAGAGAAAAAAAAAAAGGCAGAAATCAGTAGGACACTTCTGAAGAAAAAGAACAAGATGTGTGAATTTACCTATCGGATATAAAAGCTTTTATAAGAAAATTGGAATTGAGAAAGCATGTACTGTGATTGGAAAGATAGGAATGTGGATTGAAGATGCAAAATCAAGAACCCGGAAACACGCTCAGAATATACATGAAAATTTGATAGCTGATAGGTGTTGTTACAGAGAAATGAAAAAATGGATCACTCAATAATGCTCGGACAGTAGATTAAGCATAAGCACTATGCACAGTTCCAGGTGGATTAAGAACTGAAATGTAAAATGGAAAACATTAAATCTTTTAGAAGAAAAAGTTGACGCAGGTGTTTTCAATCTTAGAAAGAGTTTTAAATAAGACACAAATTAAGATTAAGAGCTTCAAAGATCAAAAAGAAAATGAATAGACAAGGTACAAACTGTGCAAAGATGTTCTGATAAGAAACAGTCTTCTTAAATTTAAATATAGAATGTTATATAAAATGTATCAGTTAAAAACACTGATAATAAAAAGCAGAAAAATGGAAAAGTGGGAGAAAATATACAGATAAGCATGATGAGATTCTGTTTAACACTCACTAAACTGACTAAATTGAAAAACACTGACCAGGGTTTTGTGCACTGTTAGTGAGAGTTTAAATTGGCACACCCACTTTGTATGCTCATTTGGAATTTTGTAACAGTAAAATTGAAGATACATGGACTAAATCTCTAGCTATTTCATTTTTGGCATGTCTGGCTTCTTTGCTTAATGCCTTTGAGATTCATCTATTTTGTTGTTTACAATTTCTTTTTGTTGTTGAGTGATATTGCTTTCTATAGATACATCAGAAGTTGTTTATAATAATCACTAGTTTTTGCAAATTTAGATTGTTTCAAGTTTTTGGGTTAATATAAATAAAAAATCTGTCATAAAGATCCATGTAGAGTACAGGTAAAATGGAACTAAATCTATCCCTATCCCTCTCCCTATCTCTATCTCTGTCTCTGTCTCTGTCTTTATCTCTATCTCTATGTCTGTTTTATTTCTCTTGTGCCAAGTCCTAGGCCTGGAATTTGGGGGCCATATGGTAAGTATATAATTAACTTATAAGAAAATGAAAATCTGTTTTTCAAAGTAGTTGTACTATTTTACATTCTCAGCATCAGTGTATGAGAGTTACAGTTTAAAGCATCATTATTCATAACAGTTAAAAATGGGAACAACCCAAATAAATTTGTTCACTGACAGATAAATGAGTACACAGTGGCATATTCATTCATAAGAATACCATAAATGATTAACCATGATATAATCATCACTATGATTAAAATATAGTAAACAAAAATCAAGTCACAGAATATATGCATCATATCCTGTATATATTTAAAATGTGCTATGGTTTAGGGGTGGGAGGGATAGAGTATTTCAGAGATGTTGGTAATGCCCTATTTTGTAAAGGAAAAAATATAAAAGTAATGTTTACTTTTATTGTAAAGGAAAAAATCAAACCAGGCATGGTGTGCAAACTCACAATTCCAACACTCTCAGAGGAAGATTGCAAGTTTGAGAAGAGCCTGGGCAAGTGACTTAGTGAGGCCTATATCAAAATAAAAAAAGAAACAGAGCTGGGGATGTAGCTCAGTGCTAAGACCCTCGGTTCAATATTGGGCATTTGTCCTATATTGTCATATATTTTCCACTTCTATTTAGTATTCTGCATATTTCTTTTGAGAGTTGAAGTCTCAGTCCTGATAATTCTCTGAAAGAATTTAGATGTCTCACAGCAAGATTAATGGCAGCAGTTAAATTCATAAATCCTTGTTTATGAAAATGAGAATATAGCCCAGCTAATAACAAAAATAATTGAATAGAATTACTTGTTTCTTAAGTAGAGAGTTTTACCAGAGAATGGTGTGCCTTCTATTTATTTCTTTTCCAATTGACTTATTTAAAATTGAGGTTTAAAACCATCATAAAATGACCTGATAGACAAATATTAAACCTATATCATCAATCTAGAAAGCCCAGTTGGTCACTTACCAGATAAGAAGACTGCAATATTGACAATAAAATTTTCTCTATCTCCCTTCTAGGTCATATCATAGCAATATAAATTCCAGAAGTTGAAAATTTCATAAGGTGAAGAATGCTAGTGAGGGAAAAGTCAAGAAATAAGTTTTCATGTGATTGAACAATATTAGAAAAGCTATAAATTAGAGTTACGTCAGATGGCACATTTTCATCTCTCTCCTTCAATGTTACTACAAGTGCAATATTTTTATATAGTTATAATTTTATTATAACTGTGATTATAAATATATTAGATATCATAAAAATGTAGATTTGAGTAAATTTTTACCCCTAAGAAAACCTTTATAGGAACTCTAGCATAAAATTCTTTAATGGCTAGAAATTATTATAGAAGTAATTTCAAATACACAGGGCTAGGAAAATGAACCTTTGAAATAATCAATAATAATAATAATAATAAAATCATGGTAATTAAACATTGGTGCAATTACTGCTAAAATACAAACTCCAAAATTAAAAAATTGCTTTCATAGCAATCACTGGGTGTTATGGATTAAAAACTGGTGGTCAATTTAATGCCAGCTGGATTAAATCAGCATGGTGCTGAGCATAGATGTTCCACCTGAGGAAAGTTGCCAGCATACATAGAGACATGGAGAGGGAGAAGTGAGGCATTGTGGGTTTCTCTAAGTGTTGCTGTTTGAACTGTTGGTTTTCCTGGAGAAGCTCATCATGACTAGCTTCCCCACATTGACTTTGATGCTTGTCATCAGAGAAGCTTGAGACCTTGTTGGTGAGGGTGGCTGTGGTTTGCTTTGGGGGAGCTCTGGTCCTTTACAATAAGCGTCATTGGCTCTGGAGGGGAAGACACATGCTGCTTTATCTCCAGAACAAACTCATCATGCTGGCTTTCTGCAATGTACTCGACTATTCTTATCATTGAAAGAGCTTGGCACCTCCGTGTCACTGAGGGTGGCTTTTCAGGACAGCCTTAGTCTTTGTTTTGAGCGTGACTTTTCAGCTCCAGCGTAGAATCCTCAACCTACCAGCAGAGCTCCTCACCCCACTGGCATAGACTTTCTAGCTTCCACCGCTGACCTTTGGGCCTTCCTAGCTTGGATCTGTAAAACAGACTGATGTGAGTCTTTCTCATGAGCTCTAGACCTCCAGCTGGACTCGTGGGAGGCATTGTCATGGGCTCTAGGTTTTCATCTGGACTCATGTAGGACATTGCTGTGGGATCCAGGCCCTTGGCTGAATATGCTGGGTCTTTAGTGTTGTGGACAGATTTCCTACATTTTCTTGTGTTTTACTCTGGGTGACCATCATAAAATAATATAAATTCTGTGTCCTAATTCTAAGTGTTCTCCTCACAACCCCTGACTACAACACTGGGCTTGACTTTCTTTTAAGTTGGAACCAAGATGTGTAATTAGAAGTAATCATTTTAAACAGTAAAGTAAATCCTTTCATTGTGGACCATATTACTTAGAAACCTTGAAACTGTATTTTACTCCCTACAGTTATGTGAGAGCTGAAGGTGGAATTGGTCACAACAGTTATTTTCTCACATTCACATGTGACTGTTGGAGTGGAAATTTCTGAAAAATAAGATACCAATTCCATAGTTGTTCACTGCTAAGCATGCCCAGTTTTACATAGTGAACTTCAATTATTTGTATGAATTAAATTAAAGATTATCCTATCCTAGCTGAAGGATGAATGTATTTGATACTGTTATAACTCAGTGTTCTTAGCAGGATCCAGAATCATTAACTCTGTGTCACTGGTGGGAAAACTAGACTCATGGACCTTAAATAAATTGTCTCAAATCTTGCCTAACTACAGCACAGCATTAGAGGCTCTGTTTTTGGCTAATTACAGACATAGCATGAGAGTCTCTGTTGCTGAACTCAGTTGTATTTCTATCACACCATTATTTCCATGTCTGATGTTTATCTTTGGGTAAAAATAAAAATTAAGATGTCATTGTGCTAGTTAACTTTGCATTATTGTAATAAATGCCTGAGGTAAATCAACTTATAAAGAAAAGATTGTTAGGTGTGGTGGAGCTCACCTGTGGTCACAGTTACAGAAAGCTGGGATGGAAGGATTGCTTGAGTGCAAGAGTTCAAGACCAGCCTGAGTAGCAAAGGGAGACACCTCATCTCTAATGGATTAATTTAAAAATTTTAAAAAGAAAAGTTTAAATTTGGTTTACAGTTTTAGTGGTTTCACCCCATAGTCATTGGCCCTGTTGCTTTAGGTCTGTAGTGAAGCATCACAGCATGATGGGAGCCTGTGTCCTAGCAGAACCTTTCTTCTCATGATAGGGAGCAAAAAAGGGAGAAAGTGGAGGGGTTGGAGTCCCACTGTCCCCTGCAAGGGTGCATCGCCAGTGACTGGGACGTGCCAGGAGGCCTGACATCTTCAAGGTTCCATTACTTCCCAATGGACGCCTTTAGTACACTGGCCTTTTGGGTCACAGTGAAGCTGTAATGGCCATCTTATTCAATTGCATCTCCAGAGAGACAACCAGTGATAATTCTTGGAGCCTGTAAATATTTCCCTATAAGGAAAGCAGGTATTTTTAGATGTGATTAAATTAAGGATTTTGAGATAAGGAGATTATGCCTGTGGGTCCTAAATTCAATCACAAATATCTTTATGAGAAAGTGAAAGAGGGAGATCTGACACAGACAGAAGACTAGAAACAGAAACGGAAGAAGACAATGTGATCATAGAGACTGAGAGATGCCATGTGCCTATGAAGAGGGACAAGGAATGGATTTTCCTGTCTCCATTAGAGGGAGTGTGATCTTGCAGACTTTTTGATTTTGGATTATTGAAATTGATGCTGAAATTCTGGTGTCCAGAACTGTGAGAGAAGGAATTTCTCGTGTTTGAAACTACCATAATGTGGTAATATGTTACAGCAGGCCCAGGAAACTAACACAGCGACACTGTTCACCTTTTTAATAATCTGTTTAACTCTATTCAACTCACTTGACTTTCTGTTGTGGAACAGATGAATTCATTAGTACCTAATGTCTCTGTGTTAAAAATTTCCCAGAACATGAAATTGTTAAAATGCTAGGGTTTCCAAGTCCTTCTTGACATGGACATCTATTACCTGAAAATTAATGTTATATGGGCAATTTTTAAAAATAGCCAAATAGAGCAGATATTAATTTATATAAAAACATTGTCATTGGTGAACTAAAATCTGCCTAAGAGAACTTGGGAATGTATATTTATTAGAATGACAAAAATCTCAAAATTTTAAAGAAGCATTCTTTTTTTTCCTCTACAGGAAGCCTTTTGGAGCTATCCTGTCTGGAAAGGTGTTTAGAACCGAATATCACTTACTCACTCTCATCCTTAAATTATTCTTTCGTGACTTTCCTGCAACCAGTGAAGGACACTCAGTCTACTGTGGGACTCTTTCTACATCACTCCAGTTTCCAGAACTTCACCAGGATTTGCCAAGAAATCATAAGTGAATTTAAAACATGCTTCTTGTGTTCGGTTTGTGAGTCCAAAGGAAACATGGATTTCGTCTCTCAAGAACAAACATCAAAAGGTAAATACAAAGTGAAAGTGAGAATAAAATGTACCAATTGCAAGTTAACTTACTCCGCTAAAAAAAAAAAGCAGACTACACTCCATTAACAATTCAGAGGCGCTGCCACACTGAGCGACATGGCTCTAGATGGATGACTTGCAGAGTTTTGCAACTGTACTCTTTTTCCATTTGTTTGTTTACTTTGATTTATTGAAAACAAAGTATCTGTTTTTAAAATACATTGAAATGCTGCTGTAATTCAGATATATTGGATGGGTAAAAGATGAGTTAGCCTTCTAGTTTCAAAGGTAATGAATGTTTAAAAAAACAATTTTAAGGAAACCTGTAGTTTCTCACGGTAAAATCAAATGCTGATTCTCCATAGAGTCATTGAATTCTTGATACATTGGTATCTGTTCCTGCCTAGCATTTATCTCCCAATTTTAGCTGTCTTTTTACTTGTCTGACTCTCCAATGAGTCTCTTGAGGGAAAGGCCTTTGTTTTTGTTCACTACCAGATCTCTAGCTTTCAGCATAATGTCTGATGTAATGTATGGTAGGCAGTTAATGAATACTTGTGGGATGAATACACGAACAAAGAAAAGAATAACTATGCGCCATCTGTGGTGCCTAACTGAACTTTGCATTTGTTATGAGATCAAGGTGTATTATTTAATCAAATTAAATCAAATTAGGTAATTGATGAGCTGAACAATTCATTCACTGTCATGAGTGTTGGTCAACAGCATTCTAGAACTTAGTCGTTTTGCATAGCTGGAACTTTTCAAAGTCTGGGTAGGACTTTTCCGTTACCTCTTTGGCCTACCCCGTAACTTTCTGCTCTCTGTTTCTAATAGCTTTACTACTGCAGATGAACAAGGTGATACAGCACTGTATTTGTTCTATGGCTGGCTTATATCACCTGATATAATATCCTCTAGGTTCATCCATTTGTCACAAAGAGTCACAAGTAACAGGATTTCCTTCTTTCCTAAAACTGAATACCATTCATGTGTGTGTGTGTGTGTGTGTGTGTGTGTGTGTGCACGCGCATAACACTTTTTCTCTATCTACTCATCTGTTACTGAACATTTATCTTAGCTATTGTAGATGATGCACAATGAATAGGAGAGTGCAGATACCTCTTTGAGATCCCGGTTTCAATTCTTTTGACTGTGTATGTACCAGGAAGTAGGATGGCTGGAGAATATGGTAGTTCTATTTTTATTTATTTATGTTTTTAGGAACTTACATACTGATGACTGTACCATTTTACATTGCCACCATCAGTGTGCATGGACTCTAGTATCTCCACATCCTCAGTAATACTTGATATTGATTTATTTCAAAATAACCCTACTGATGAGTGTGAGGTGATATCTGATTGTGGTATTGATTATCCATTTGCTGATTTTTAGTGACATTGAACCACTGTTCACATATTCACTGGCCACCCATCTATCATCTTTGGAGAAATTTCTATCAGAATCATATATATGCATATATATATATGTGCATACATTTACATACATATATATGTAATCTTAAAACAGGATCTGTCTATGTTACTCAACTTGGTCTTGACTACCTGTGCTCAAGTGATCCTTCTGCTTCAGCCTCCAGATTAGTTATAGGCACTGGTCACTGTGTCAGGCTTTTGGCTGTTTTAAGATCAGGGTTTTTTGGGAAGCCAAGCACGTACCTCCCCTCCCTAGTAAGCAGTGGCGGTGTGGCAGACTGCGGTCCTTCCAGGGGGAGAACCACCAGCAGCTCCGGAGATCCACGCATGTTGGAACTTAGGATGCTGTGAAACCAAACAACCAGCCTGCCTCCCTGCTAAGCAAAAGTGAACCTACTGATGCACGGCCTAAAGTCAAACATCCCACTTCTCTACCCTCCTTCTCCTGTCCCGTGCCCCTCCCCTCCGCCCCCGTTAGCAAATGGGAACCAGAAATCTGAGCGTCTCCTGGGAGGCTGACCATAGCAAATAAGGGGGACTTCCTTCTACCATCTCTTTGAAGGCAAATATTTTTATTACTGTTTTGCTCTATTCTGAATAATGGTACTGCTATATTCAATGTTCTGTTTTGGTAAGTTCTATTATGTTCTGTATTTCATTTTGATATATGTGATTGAAAGAACAACTATTATAAAGATAATGAAATATACCGTGATACCTATTACTGTAATCCCAGTAACCTGCTGTGAAGTTCTGTACCAGTTTCACTGTACAATCTTAGTTGGCTTTATTCTGTCTTTTTCTGTTGTATTTTACCACTTTCAAAATAAAATTTAAAAAAAAAAACAAAAAACAAAAAAGATTAGGATTTTTGTTGTTGTTGTTGTTGTTGTTGAAGTTACAGGAATTCCTTGTATATTATGAATACTGTATTAACTTTCCATGACATATCAGCCACAAGTTTTGCAGATATCTTCCCTGAGTCTGGGGTTGGTCACAGTTTCCTTGGTGCCATCTTTCCACTTGGGCTTATTTGGGACTCCCTCACAGCAAGGTGACCTTAAATTGTTGGACTTTATGCGAAGGCTCAAGGCTCCGTGGTTAGTTTCTCCTCACAACCCTTAGAAGGCACCGGCCCAGTTCACACCTTATCTCACACTTTTAGCCTCTACTACTGGGAGACAGATTGCTGTTCCTTAAGCTTCATTTTACATTCTTTCTTAAAAATCATCAGAGAAATGTCTGTATTTACTTTGAGATGTTCTAGTGCCATTTCAAACCTACTTTTATCTGGTTTTAATGATCTTAAAAAAATGTAACTTTGGATAAGTGTTTGCAATGTAGCCAACTTCTTGTTTCTATTGTCTCATACAGGAAGGAGAACATTTAGTTTTGAATTGTATTTTGTTATTATGTGTTACTGTTTTGCAAATAATGTTCCCTTAAATCTCTTTCTAGTTCTTGTCATGAGGCGATCAGTGGACGTGAAAGCAAAAGAATTCTTTTCACCTTGTCAACATTTGAATTTCTCTGTAACTCCTGCAGTTGACTGGTTAGAGGAATCCAACACCACCTGCAGCCTCAGGTCTCAGACTGCAAACTCAACGATTGTGGAGGAGGAGCCAACCAAGGAAAATTCTCTGAATCATACTTGTAGAATCATGGAGTACTCAAATAATTGTACTCATGTTTCCTTGCACCTAGAAATGGATGTAAAAAGTAAGTGTTAAAGGAAACCAAGGGAAAAAGAGAAGTCAGATATAGACACATAGAATTAAGTAATGGAGCTTAGCTTCATGGAAAGTCAAATAGTTGAAGAAATTCATTAATGAAGCAACATACGCTGAAAGAATGATAGCTTTTTATTGTTTAGTTTTTCTTTCAAAAATGTGATTTTATAAGGGTGCTGCTGTAGCCTGAGGCAGAGGAGACATCTATGCATCAGAATTTGAGGGGCGCTAGGAGTGCTCTAGAGGAACTGCCACGCATAATATATTAGCTGTGCTTAAAGTAAAAAAATCACACTTGGGTACTCACGCATGAGATTCTTTTAAAATGCAAATATCCATGTACATTGTGATGTGTTGTTAACTTTTGTTTTGAGTTCATGTACCATGTCCTATCATGGAGCTGAGAACCAGGCTTGGATGAAATGGACTTTTTAATATACTAGTGCAAGGATAGGCTGAGGTGGATTTTAAGCACCCGGGGTCACTGGGTGACTGAAGGGAAAGTAGGAGGCCAAAAGATGGCTCTTAAGTATATCTTAATACATCCGTCTGCTTAAGGGTTGATTGATTGACTTCCTACTCGTTCTGAATGATCACAGCTCTTCCTTCTCTTTCTCTTTCCTTTTCATTTTTCCTGAATACTAAGGCTTAAACTCATGGTCCTTTCACCTACCTTTAGCCCAAGCCCTTTTAAAAATGTTAAAAAATATTTTGAGACAGGATCTTGATAAGTCACTAAATTGTCCAGACTGAACTTCAACTTGTGCCCTCTGCCTCAGATTCCTAGAGTGCTGGAATTACAGGCACAATTATTCCTTTGTACTTCACCCGTAAAATCTGGACAACATTTTATGATGCACATTCATTCCATGAGTGCCTGCTGTATGCCAGGCAGTGTGTCAGGCACTGGATCAGAGAACGTAACATGGTCTGGAAGAGGGAGACATGGTATATAAACAAGCGAGTGCATTCCACAGCTACAAAGGCTACGGCAGTACCTGGCTGGGCTTTTTGGTATCCCTAAAAAAATATAAACTTTTTGGATTTCTTGGGAAGGCTTCTTCTAAAGGTTTGCTTTTATTTTGAAGATAATTATTTTTAAGTTATTGTTTATTTTAAAGCAAATACAAGTATGCTGTGTGTGTGCCTTTCTAAGATAAAATGTGACTTCAAAGATATTTCCTCTATAAGTTAGTTTGCCCAGGGCCAGACAGCATCTGCACTTAGGGGTTTTTCAAGTTGTGTGTCTGGGCTGGGTCTGGGAAAGACATGAATAGAGGGATCCTGGCTCTAAGAGTGAGGTTGGAACTCTGGAAAGGCTATGTAGAAAATGTTGATCATAGCAAAATCTGAAAGATAGGTTTGGATTTTAAATATTTAAAGCATATCAATTTCAGTGTATATAGTTGGATATCAAATTGCTTTTTACATTTTTCCAAAGCAAAGAGAAAATGAAAACTTCCTTAATTATGATTTTTTTTTGTCTTTTTCCTTTTTATTGGTACCAGGAAACAAACTCACTACTGCCTGCTTGCAAGGCAGGCACTTATGCCACTGAGTTAAATCTCCAGCCCCCTTAATTATGATTTTTAAGAGAACTTATTTTTGTGTAAAATAAATTCTAGATTCGAAGTGCCATAAGAGGTATCCAATTCAGAAAGATAGAGCAGCACTACACAGATATACGCTCTTAGGTTCT